TACCCCACCATTATGACTGCACGTCTCTGCACCCATCTTGTGGTCAGCTGCTGGGTACTTGGTTTTCTCTGGTTCTTGATTCCTATCATCATCATCTCCCAAATGTCCTTCTGTGGCTCCAGGATTATTGACCATTTCCTGTGTGACCCAGGTCCTCTTTTAGCACTCACTTGCAAGAAAGCTCCCGTGGTAGAGCTTGTCTTCTCCACTTTAAGTCCTCTTCCCCTGATCATTCCCTTTCTCTTCATCATGGGGTCCTATGCTCTGGTCCTAAGAGCTGTACTGAAAGTCCCTTCAGCCGCTGGACGAAGAAAGGCTTTCTCCACGTGTGGGGCTCATCTATCTGTGGTTTCACTGTTCTATGGCTCGGTGATGGTCATGTATGGGAGCCCAACATCTGAGCATGAAGCTGGAATGCAGAAGATTGTGACTCTGTTTTATTCTGTTGTGACTCCACTTCTTAACCCTGTGATATACAGTCTTAGGAACAAAGATATGAAAAAGGCCCTGCAGAAATTTCTGGGGATATAAAAAATGTTAATCAGTAGGGCTCGTGGGCAATTAGAACTCAAACTCTATTTAACTTATTTAAAAACGTTTTCAAAAATTACATTTAACTCATTTTCAGGTTAAAAAATGGTTTTATTCAGATAATTGTTCATCCTACTTTTGATCAAAATCTCAATCATTTATGACCATATGTCTGTTTTTTTATTTCTTCTCTTGGTTTTTTATCATTTGTCCTGTTTCTTAGCATGCCTCAATGTATTAACTGAATACCAAACTCTATATTTTAAAAATTATAGACAATATGTATAGTAACTCAACAAAAGTTAAAGTTTCCTTCTAGCAGTAGATAGAGGCAGATGATTTTGATCTCATTTAAGGACTATGTTTATGTGATACAAATAGTCTATGCCAGTTTTACTCTTATTTCTGTGTTGTAACTCTACTCCAGGAACATAGCCTTCTGAGACCTCACACACTGCAAGCCTGGATTGTTTTCAGGACTCCTCCACCTTAGCAGGCCCTGACTTCTTATTTCTGTACTCCGTGAACCTCACAATTTTGAATCCTCTGCTCAGCACTTTAGAATCCTAGTTTCTGCTTTACACTAGATTTCTTGAAAGCTCATCTTGCACATAAATAGCTTAAAAATCCAAAAATACTTTGAAAAGAGATTACATATTTTGAGCCTCACTTTTCTGTGATCTTTCTCTCTCCATAATTTGCTTCCCAAACCCCAGCTGGTTTGGAAACCACAAACACAAAGTCCTTTATCTCCTCAGTTTGGTGAAACTTCTGCTTTCTGCTGAGACCTTTATTCTTCCTTCCTCCCATTCTTCCTGCATGCTTCCATATCCCCACACTCTCCCTACCCTGAGAATCATCATGTCCTCAAGGAAAAACACCAAAGTGAATGTAGAACTCATCTGTTTGTCCTTCCCTTCTTGGAATTATAGCCCCTGAAGTCTTGCTTGTGTCGATAGCTCTCTAGTGCCTTCAAATGATTGTTTTGTGTATTTTGTCCAGATTTTATAGTTACTTTCGGTAGAAGGGTTAGTTTAATACAATCTGCTTAGCCATAACCATAACCAGAAATTATTTTCTATTATATCGAAATTCCATACATTCTCATTTATTCCCTCACTTTCAGAAGATGATCTTAAATCATTCAAGACCCACAAATCAAAGACAAATGCATATAGGGACTGGTATAAACTCAAGTCCGGGCTGTAGGCCTGCTTTTTTTTTTTTCATTGCAATCAACTCCAGATTCCACGGGATTTCACTCTTGTGAACAAGAAAGAGGGTAAGGGAGGTGGGTGGAGGAGTCTGGGTGCTTAAAATAAAATGAGAGGTAAAACCAGAACCACAGAGAACAGATTTAGGCCATATTTTTTTCAATGGGAGGTGCTCACAAATTATAGATCAGTAAAAAGATTCACTCAGGATTTGCATTAGTAACTTGGGGTAGTTCTCCTTGAACTCCCTCCTAAGCTTTGAATGAAAGGTCATCCTATTATTGAAGTGTCTTTACCAATTCAGCTACCTGATCCTGCAGATGAAGAAAATAAGAATTAGGAATGAGGAGTGATTTGCTGAAGATAATAACTTCAATGGTAAAAAAACAAGAAAAACAAAAAACAAACAAACAAAAAAAACTTCCTATGAACCACCCCTTTCACTAGCCCAAGTTGCCTTTGCTTTACTAACTAATCTTATATTTCTGTCTTTAGGATTTCTGAATGATTTGCTTGTTAATAATTTAGGACTTTTCAGTTATTTGCCAGTTAAACAATGTTTGTTTCCTTAATATATATAAAACTCTGTAAACAGTAATAAAACAGAACAAGATCCCAATTGGAAATTAAGCTAAAGAATATAAACAAATAACATCAGAAAAGATTCTTAAACATATGGAGAGATAATTCATTTATAAATAGATAATTTAGAATAAACTTATAATAGTATTTCATTTTTAACCCATTGGACTTTCAAAGATCAAAATTTTGATAACACACTGTATAGGAGTATAAGTTTTACAAACTATATAGGACAATTATGCAACTTCTATCAAAATTTAGATGGCATATACCCTGTTCTCAAGCAACTCAGTTTCTAAGGTACTTAGCCTGTAAATATTCTCATAACTGTGAGAAATGGTGAAAGTACAAGACTATTTATTGCAGTATTGTTGTAATAGCAAAATGTTGAGAAAATATCAGTTCCCATTAAGAGGAGACTAATTAAATGAGCTACAATTCAGTCATGCGATGGAATAATATGTCTTCAATTTTATAAAACATGAGGAAAATCTATATGCGATATGATGTAATATCTCCAATATATATTGTTGAGTGGGAAAACCAAGGTAAGTAGCAGAGTGTAGCTACCTTTTATGTAAATGTTAGACTGGTTCCTGATGAAGATCTAGAAATCGATAACAGGGGTTGCTTCAGGTGAGTAGAATTTGCTGTCTGAAGAACAAAAGAGTAAAGGAGACTCATTTTCTTCACACCTGCTTTCGAACTTTTAAAAATTCTTTGCCATGTGCCTACATTCTTTGTTTAAAAATAAGTAATAATACTTATTTAAAAATAAGTTGTTTTTGAACAAAGAATAACTTTCTAGAGGAATTTTCTGATAATTAGATCAAGAAAATCATTTTCTCCCCACAATTCTAGATTTCCTTAGGAGCCTAGTCATTTATAGAAAAGTTGAAACAGGGTCCTAAGAACACCTTAACACTATTCCACTCAAACTTTTTGGTATTTTAGAGAAAATATGACAAATGTCTTTCTCTTCTTAGGCTTCTACAAATACACTGTTATAAACTCTAACTAGTTTATCACATTTATGTATATATGTCTTCTCCCTCATCATTCAATTTTTGCTGTTGTTGTTGTTGTTGTTCTTGTCGTTGTTGTTTATCATTGTTGTCGAGCCCTATAATATCAGACATTGAGCCAGGAAATAAATTTGATATGAAAGTATATAAGACACATTTTCTTCCCTCACAGTCTCACGATAGAAATGTACAGTAAAATTGCAAGGGTTTTCTTTTTATTAAATGGTATGAGTGCAAAAAGTGAGGAAAGACTAAATACTAGGGGAGATCATGCAAAGCAGCGTGTATGAAAGCACGGTTCTGTGTCATGTGAAAAAGGACTCAAGCATAACTAATTAAAGGGCATTGCCTTTTTGCAAGTACACCTCAGGTTACAGAATAGAAGTGCTTCTAGAAATTCTCTGTAGACCACCATATAACTAACCACTCCTAGAAATTATTAATGAGTTCCCCAAATAAGTGCAACTACAAAATGCAATATACATTAAAGTCCAAACAAAAGTATGATTTTAAAATTTCAAGTAAACATTGGTTGTAGCAATAGAAAGCCATGTTACTTTGATTTGCCATCCTGTTAAGAATAAAGAAAAATAAGAAATAAAAGAAAATAATAAAACTTGACAAACTAAAGAAAAAATGGGAAAATCGTAAGTCAAAATTTTTATGAAAGTCTGAGTGGTGAGCACTTAAAATTATTCATATTCAGAGAACACTTACCTATAGTTCAAATCTGTATATTTCACGACAAAGCCTGGTTAGAGAAATGAAGATGACAGGCCTCACATGAAGCTGGAACCCTTAGTGGTCTACGTCCTCAAGTAAGTATGAACAAGAACTAAACCTGACACCACTTAGAAGGAAAATTAAAATTCAGCGTCCCTGGAAATTTATGGCCATGATTCAACTGTTGCTTGGATTTACACACAGTTTTCTACAATTTTCCCAGTATGTTGCCTTCCTTTCGTTCAAAAGTATTTAATTTTCCACTAGAGACTCTGCCATTC